ACTCTGTTGTATAACTTTTATTATCAATTGTATTTTATTATGCGTCAGCGGGTTGATCTAGCCAGCGCTAGCTGCAGCGGATACATAAGCTGGGTTTACACTGACAATTTTGAGTTGCTGAATTGTACGAACTTGGCAGTTTGGCAACTGACAATCGCCAGTGTAAACGTCGAGTAAAGTAAAGTCGCACGTCCAACCGATCGATAGCAGCAAGTCGGAAGATTAGAACATGTTCTAATTTCCCCAACTCGGAGCAGGCGAGTTGGACGGTTTTATGCCAAGTGGCCAATCAGACAACAGCAATGAGGGGTGTGTCCCTCCACCCTAGGGGGAGAGCACGTATAGGCGCCACGCTGGCGGCATGTAATACATGCAAAAATGTGTATCCGCGTCGCCCCGCGTCCACGCTACGGGTCAAATGTTGGAACGTTTGCCGCCTCGCGGTCGATAACGTAAGAGCTTTGAATATATATATATAGAGAGGTTGGTAGAAAGAAAAAAAACGCCAATTTGACTGCATATAATCGTCAGTGTAAACCCTGCTTAAGCCGCTGCTGGATGCACGGTGTATATGTAGCGCTCGCTGTACATACGTACATGTATACATTTCAATTTATCAGGCCACGGGAGCAATTTTCTCTCGGGCGATCGCTCCCGTTATTGTTCTTACCAGAGCAAAATCGCTCGTCGCTCCTGTGTATTTTTTTCCCTGTATTAGTGTGGAGCAAAGGGGTGCAAATCCACTTTAGGCACCTTAGGTATCACGAAGTGATGCACAGATTTCTGTGTATCATCAACTGATGCACAGACTTTACATATGTATCAAGGAATGAGGCAAAAACTCTAACCCTAACCCTAACACACTTCGTGATACCTAAGGTTATACTTTATGACTTCGGGTTAGGGTTAAGGTTTTTGCATCATTCCTTGATATACGGAAATTCTGTGCATCAATTGATGATACGCAGAAACCTGTGCATCACTTCGTGATACCTAAGGTGCCTAAAGTGGATTTGCACCGAGCAAAGGTAATGACACGGCTATTTATTTACATTGAATTTCTAGTAGTTAGTCACTTAGTGCTTACAGTCACAACACTTGTTTAGACTCACTTATCTACAACAAAGCAATATAATTAAAATAAGAGTAGGCCTAAACATGAGAAGCATAGGGGCCTAATAATTATTATTATTATTATTATCACTTATCTACAACAAAGCAATATAATTAAAATAAGAGTAGGCCTAAACATGAGAAGCATAGGGGCCTAATAATTATTATTATTATTAATAATATATTATTATAATATTAATATTATTAACTGTACACTACAGACTACAGTACAGACAGGTCGAATAACAGTCAAATCTCATCGTCGTCAAAATACAACTTGACATTTAGGAAATAACGAACCGACCATGACATGAGCATAGTAAGGTGGTGAATTCTACTAGTACTAAAACTCATACACCATTTCTATCACTAGTAGTAGTACCGTACTAGTAGTAGGTACCATTGCGACCGCCAGGATAGATAGTTTTGAAAACATGGAAAGCAAACATGATCTATTTACTATGATTTGTTACTTATGACTCAAGTGTAGGTACTCACTTATTATTTCATCAAATAATTCGATAGTGTGTAAGTGTGTAAAACACCCGTTAAAATGTAATGCGCTTGACACTGTGACACTACAGTAATAGAAGCACAACATCACGAACAGCGTAAACCCATCACCATCTTGCCGTGTTGAACTTCGCAATATCGCAAAATACGGATCTTCTAAAAATAGCTCGACGCACCTACATCTAGGTGTCGCTGGATGCGATCATGCGCGCCCACCACAGGTGCATTGTGGGAATACTGGGAAGCTCGAATCGCCAATAAACCACAAACTGCATGCAGTGCACCCACTGATCTCTACTATACTAACTTAGTTAGTATAGTATAGTATAGTATACTATAGTTAGTATAGTTAGTATAGTAGAGATCAGTGGTACACCTTCGTACACTCAGGATACGTAGATTGAGCCCATTTGCGAGAGCGCCATCTGTCGTGGAGTTTGAATAAACCAATGGACATGACACGTGACCACTATTAAATCACTACCAGTTCATTATGATTATAGTCCAGGCATTTTATGATTCGACCTGGTACTAATTGCAAAAGAAGCTTTTTCATCATTAACCAGTTACAATAAACCTCTAAATGAACATACTAAAAGTCTCTAAGGATCTAAGCAGGGGAACACCTCCAAATGGGACTCACCGCTAACTAGCTCGATCCTGCAACATGAAAACGAAGCTCTAAACCGGAAGTTGTTGTTTTCCGA